TTCCTGGCAGGGGCAGCCCTGCCACCCTCCGCGGGGACTTTGTCAGCCGGCGGGGCACTGCGCCCATCCCCAGCACCATGGTGAGAAACATGGATGACTTTGACTTCTGCCTGCCTTCGCATGCTCAGGGCATGCTGGAGGGGCTGCAGCAGCTGCGCACCACCCCCAAACTGGCAGACGTGACACTGGTGGCAGGCGGGCGGGAGTTCCCTTGCCACCGCAGCGTCCTGGCCCTCTGCAGCCACTACTTCTACGCCATGTTCTCCGGCGACTTCGCCGAGAGCATTGCAGCACAGGTGGAGCTGAAGGAGGTGGACCCCGGTGCTCTGGAGATGCTGCTCGACTTTGCCTACACAGGGAAGGTCACCATCAACCAGGACAACGTGGAGGGGTTGATGCGGACCTCCAGCCAGCTGCACTTCCCCACTATCCAGAAGGTCTGCAGCCGCTACCTCCGGCAGCAGATGGACGCCACCAACTGCTTAGGTATCTGCGAGTTCGGTGAGAGCCACGGCTGCCCTGAGGTCTCCTCCAAGGCCTGGTCTTTCTTGCAGGAGAACTTTGAAGCTGTCTCTCTGCAAGAGGAGTTCCTCCAGCTCTCCAAGGAGAGGTTGACTGTCTACCTCTCCAAGGACCAGCTGCAGGTGCAGGAGGAGCAGAGCCTCGCTGAGGCTGTGCTGCGCTGGGTACGCCACGACCCAGGGTCCCGAGCCCAGTTCCTGCCTGAGCTGCTGGAGCTGGCCCACCTCGTCTTGCTGCCTGACCAGTACCTGCAGAACCTGCTTACCACTGAGCCCCTCATCCGTGACTCAGATGCCAGCAAGGCCCTCGTCACACGATCCCGCACCGCGGTGGGTACCCCCTGCCCCAAATCCTGCCCCAGAAGCTGGAGGGGAAGCTCAGCTTGGAGCCTTACAGTCCTGTCCTGGCCTCTCCATCAGGGGCAGAGTGATGCCAGTGTGCAGAACTGCCTGACCACACTGCAGAAGCTGGAGGAGGTACTGGTGGTGGTCGGAGGCCGTGTGCTGGAAGAGGGCGAGGATGAGGACAGGGGGCTGGAGATGCCGGCCACCCCCAGGAACTTTGCCTTCTACAGCCCCAAAAGTAGTAAGTGTGCACGGCATGGATGGGGCAAGTGCACACCCCCTACATGTTAATTAACCCTCCATCTACCCCAGAGCCACCTCTTGCCAAATGATCTGGTGTTGAGAGGGGCAGTGGGGAGAAAGGGGAAGGGAAGAGTGAAACAGGGCTGGCTTAAAAGCATCATCACTGTCTGGGGGAGTCACCACTTGGCTCTGCTGGGTTTCAGGGCGATGGATGGCTCTGCCTGACTTCCCAGATTACAACAAATGGGGCTTTTCCCTGGTGGCTCTGAACAATGAAGTCTATGTCACAGGAAGGTGCCAGGGCTGCCAGTGCGGGGTGGGTATCCCCCAGGGAGCGGGGATGGAGATGGGGGACAAAGATCCAGGCAGGTGTGTGGGCAGGGAGCATTGGCATGGGGCCAGGGGCTACCCTGCTCTCCCAGCAAAGCCCTCTCCTTGCTCCCCTCTTGGGTGGATCTGTCAGGGAATACCCAGAGATGGCTGCACTCAGAGGGGTTGTCCGCCTGACCTGTCCCTCCCCAGGTGGCTCTCGGGGGTCTCAGAACGATACGTGGTCGACAACCCAGGCTTGGTGCTTCTGCCCGAGGGACGGTGCCTGGAAGCCCATCGCTTCCATGCTGAAAGCCCGGACAAACCACACCAGCGCTGTCCTCAATGGCGAGATCTATGTCATTGGGGGTAAGACTGCAAAGACGCCGTGGGTGCCGCTGGGGCAGGGGTCCATGGGTGCCCCGAGCAGTGGGGTAGCTGCAGTATCCTGCTGCCTTGCAGGGACGACGGTGGACGTGGTGGAGGTGGAGCGCTATGACCCCTATAACAAAAGCTGGTGTGCCATCAGCCCAGCCCTCAAGTACGTGAGCAATTTTGCAGCCTCCAGCTGCTTGGGCAAGCTCTACCTGGTGGGCTCCTGCGCCGTCAAGTATAATGCACTCACCCTGCAGTGCTACAACCCTGTCCAAGGTGAGAGTTGGCCCTGCCACTGCACCCCACCAACGCCTTCCTGGGAAGCAGGACCGAGGGTGATCCCCCAGGCAGGCAACATCCTGTGCCACTGGGCATGTTCTTGTGGGATGCCCTGTTAGCACCTGCAACCATGTGCCAACAGGGGTCTGCTGACGGCTGTGGCAGGAGGCCAGCCAGGAGCATAGCTGCTGGCAGCACAGCCCAGACCTGAGCTTCAATGGAGAGGGATCCCTGGAGCAGAGGGGTGGGGGGACACTACCCACCTTAGGGAGAAGCCAAACCCCTGGGACAATGCCACCTCCTGGGGCAGTAGTCTCCCTCATCCCACACCACCACTACAAAAAATATCTCCCACACGTTTTTTAATGCAAGAGCCTCATCTGGAATGGGGACCACGGGTGCCATCCTGTCCGGCTGCTCTGTCCCCTCCCTTTCAAACCGCCCCTTAAATAGCCATGGGATAGGCAATGCTTTTTTCGGTCACTGGCAGCTGCATCAAGAGCCAAGGGTGGGACATGCTGCTGACGGCTGCTTCTTGCAGATTTGTGGAGTGTGATCACATCCCCCTTCATCCCCAAATACCTCTCGGCCCCACGCTGTGCCACCCTGCGCGGGCTCATCTACCTTATCGGGGACAACACCAAGAAAGTCCACATGTATGACCCAGAGGCCAACATCTGGCAGAAGGTAGCGGGATGGTGGGCTGCAGGCAATCACTCCCAGGGAGGTGGGGCAGCAGTTCCCTCCCTGTCAGCACCCACCAACCATAACCCCACTCCCGCTCCGCCCCTGCTCCCTAGGTGCCAGCACCCCCTCTCCCTCCTGCCTGCTCAACCCCTGTGGACCTGAAGATGCCCCAATCATTCCAGCCCTGCTTCCCCGTCACCCGCATTAGGAGCATGGCTTTTGTGCAGAGTTGCTGATTTTAAGCAGTGTTCACAATGCAGAAGCCCACAGGACCAGGGTTTTTCCAGCACAGTTTGCAGGGTTCCCACCTTCATACTCTAACAAAATCCTGCCTGTCCCCTCCACCCACCCCAAGCCCCCACAGCACCCTCAACCTTGCTCCTACACAAGCACAACAGGGATGCTGCTAAAAGCAAGACATGCCTTGCAGGAACTCACAAACCTTGCAGGAAGGATGGGGCATGAGGGATGTGGCTGGTGGGTTAATGTCCTCTTCAGTGGGATTGGGAGGTCCCCGGGGGGGCCCAAGCATCTCACCCTGCCCCTCACACAGGTGCAGCTCCTCCACACACTCCATGAGAATGGTGGGATGGTGGCATTGGGCGACCGGCTCTTCGTCACCGGCGGCCACTGGAAGGGCATGAACGGGGACTATCGGGTGGAAATGGAGGTGTACGACTGTGCCAAGGACCTATGGACTCGGGAGGGCTCCCTGCCCTGCCTGTGGCTCTTCCACAGCTCCTCCTCCATCTTCATGGACACCTCGAAGTGGACAGAGGCTTTCCAGAGTGACCATAGATAGTGGGTGAGCCTGCAGCATTGACTGTCACCCTGTGCAGCTGCTCTTGCCTTTCTACTTCACCAGTTCAACTCTGCAGAGGGAGGGGCAGGGGAAGACGGAAATTCCTCTGCCAGACTGGCCAGGGCATCAGGAGCATGTGTATCCCCCTGCCCAGCCACCACCGGGAAAAGGCTTTTCCTTTTAAACATGCTTTGGCTCATGCTCTCTTTTTGTTTGGTGATTTGGTTTTGTTTTGTTGTGTTTTTTTTTTTTAAGAACTGCCTTTTCCCTACTCTCTAAAAACACAAAGCTTTTAGAGTATTCAGAGGCCTCCCAAAGTGTGGCCTATTCCATCAGAGACTGGCATTGCTGCTTGGTGGCCATGGCCCCTTTCCCCATCATGTTGACATTTGGCATGGGGGAACATGAGGGGGATTGGGTTAATCCTCTCTTTCCTGACACCTGAACTTCTCCAGCACTTTGCTTGCCAAGACTTAGGTGTAAGACCTGCTCCAAAGTCATTTGATGGTTTATCTGGTATCTGTTAATCTGTTCTCTGTTAGGTTTCTACTTTTGAAGCATTAAAAATGCACACTGTGGGTTGGGGGGAGCCACACAGGGTTTTACATACAGAGGGTCACCTGTAACAGCTAGTGGCCAATCTCCAGGAAGATCATTCCAGGCTGGTGTGTGAGTCTGTGTGGCAGGTGCTGCCCTTGCACCCATTGGGACCTACTGTGCCAGGAGAGCTACAGCTTCTGCTGAAAGGTACCCATTGGCCTCAGGGCATGCTGCAGGAAGGAGGGGCCAAGGGGGACCCCAGAGCAAGAGTAGGGGACAGCAGAGACGAGATACCATGGTGCTGGACAGCAGAGCCAGCCACTATCTCATCTCAGGGCCAGGGAAATCATAGAGCGGTTTGGGTTGGGGTAGCCAACACAAGAGGGACATGGAGCTGCTCGAGAGTCCAGAGGAGGCCACTGAGATGCTCCCAGGGCTGGAGCACCTCTGCTGTGGAGACAGGCTGAGAGAGCTAGGCTTGTTCAGCCTGGAAAAGAGAAGGCGCCAGGGAGACCTTAGAGCAGCTTCCAATGCCTAAAGGGGCCTTAGATTAAATATGGAGAGGTACACTACAAGGACATGTAGTGACAGGACAAGGCTTTAAGCAATTTCTCTCAGCAGATTTCCCTGTTCAGCTTCCCAGCAGCAGAAACCATATTACTTGTATCACTTTAGCTTCCCTGCAATGTATTAGCAGTGGATGTTAGCTGGCAGAAGCCAACATCCTTTGCAACTAATCTTTAAAGCAGAGCAATGTCCTGATAACACTGCACATTTGATTAAAGCAAATTCCTGTCCCATGGCTTTCCACACCAGGCATTCCCTGCCTGTGGCACAGGGCCCAGGCTGTGGGCACCACAAATACACTCCCTGCTTTGTCTCCGATAGCTGTCTGAGGCAAGGATGGGCACAGGGCTACATGCCTGAGTGAGGACTGCAGGAGCAGTACCCGGGCAGGCTTGGCATGGGGTGAGGGAGCTGCACTGTTTATTTCTTACTAGCACACAGCACTGGGTAAGCTGTGCCAGCAACACAAAGACAGCCCGAACTGCACACAGCTCCACCTTCCCCGAGGGATCCAGGCACACAGGCAGTGGAGAGGCAATCTCCTTGGGCTGGACCTTACTCAGGACAGCTCTCCCGTGTATTAAGTTCCTAGCTGGAGTTACGTTTTTAATAGGAGGAGGAAGGAAAAGAGAAGACGGAGAAGACAAGCTGATACTTCTCTCATCAGCTCTCATGCTGGAATTAAGAGGGGCCTCCTGGAGGGAGCACCAGGGACAGGTGCTTGGCTCAGCTCTCACAGGACAGCACACAGCTCTCCCCAGCCTGTCCTGGGTTCAGCTACAGCAGTCATTTTTTCTCCTTCTTAGTAGCTGGTGCAGTGCTGTGGTTTTGACTTTCAGTCTGGGAACAATGCTGATAACACCGATGTTTTTAGTTGTTGCTAAGTAATGTTTACTCTGACCAAGGACTTTCTCAGTCTCATGCTTTGCCAGAGAGGAGGGGAAGCCAGGAGGAAGCAGAGACAGGACACCTGACCCAAACTGGCCAAAGGGGTATTCCATACCACAGCACGTCATGCCCAGTATATAAACTGGGGGGAGTTACCCGGAAGGCCCAGATCGCTGCTCGGGTCGGGCTGGGTATCGGTCGGCGGGGGGTGAGCGGTTGTGTCCTTTTCCCTTGTTATTCCTCTTATCATTATTATTGGTAGCAGTAGTGGTTTGTATTATACCTTAGTTACTGGAGAGCTGTTATCTCAACTCGTGGGAGTTACATTCCTCCGATTCTCCTCCCCATCCCTCCGGGAGCAGGGGGAGGAAGGAAAAGGGGGGGAGTGAGCGAGCGGCTGCGTGGTTCCAAGTTGCCGGCTGGGCTTAAACCACGACACAGCCCAAAGCTGTGAAAAGCAGGGAGGTGAGAAGGGAGGGCAAGCTGCCCTTCTAAGATCCGCCATCAGGATTTCTTTTGCCACAGACTGAGTAAACTCCATACTACTCCATCTTGGCTCTCCAAAACTGGCTTTCAAGAGCAGTAGCAGCAGCGCAACCTTATGTCAGAACATGCGGGAACGTTTGGGTGCAAAACAGGCTGGCAGAGGCAAGTGCCACCCAAAATATGTGCCAGAGGCTCACTTCCTTCCTCAGTGCTCTGCAGGAGATGTGGAGAGTTAGTGTGAGCAAGGCTGAGTGAGCTGAAGCGTTAGCGTAAGCCCATGAACTTCAGCTTAACTGACTTGTGATGTAGCAGAAATGGATGAAAGATGGTCAAGCCACTTGTCCCAAACAACAGGATAGCTTTTGTAAGCTCAAGAAAACAGACAGCCAAAAATCCAGGACCATCCCTCAAAGCTCCAGGGAACATGGAGAGCGGAAGAGATGCAAGGAAGCCTCACAACCTGCACAGGACTATGCACAAAACAGCAGGTACCACCATAACCACCTCCCTCTAGGACTGCGCAGTTTCTCATGCAGAGCAAGGAGGCTGTCCAAGAAGCCACTGCACAGACCCACTGGCTCATCTCCCTCATTGCACCTCTCACCTAGATGATGGGAAACTTGCATAATCTGGAATTTAAGTTCTTTGGTAACCCAACCACTTCAGCTTTCACTCTGTCATTTGGTCTGAAGCCAATTTTTCTCTGGAAATCAGCATATTGACTCTCTGCAGCAACAGCTGGTGGAGGAATGGGGACGAGATGAGATACCAGACACTTAATAGCAACAAGTACCCAAAACCCGAGATGCCTGCTCGTCAAATAGCACAGAGACAAACACAGGATCTGCCTCTATCTCAGCTGCTTGACAGATCCATTTAGTGAAAACACTTTCCCAATAAACATCAGGAGCAAACTCTAGCAACTTTTGCTGTATCAGCAACTGGGATAAACCCCCACTGTCTTCTGCAAGCAGAGGGAAGGTATGCTGCTGCTCTGCAAGCAGTGTTTGTATCACTCAAGCTGCATGCAGCCTCACAACCCAGCTTCAGAACCAAAAGATTTCCTTCCCAACATTAAGAAGACAGCCCATGCTACATCCCAAGTCAGTGGCTGGGGTACTGCACAGTCCATACGGTACAGCCTGACTGGGAGCTCCCACTGAGTCCTGAGAACTCACAACTCTCCCAGGGCCTCATACAAAGCACCAGCTGTCAATGGTTCATGTCCACAGATACCTGCTCTTGCTAGCACCTCTGCCAAATGGATTTATTTGGTTTGCCAAGACAAGGGTTGACAGGACAAGATTCCCGCACAGGCTGATCCACTGTGGCAGACACATAAAAAAACCTACTAGCCAAGTGAGCTACAACTATTAGAAAAAAAAAAACCAACCCAACTTTATTTACACTGAAGAGCATCCAGCAGGACTCTCCCTCCCCCGGCCACATATGCACACACACAGACTTCTCCCTTTCCTTACATCCACCAGAAGCTGGGGAACCTGCTGCTGCTCCTCATCATTCAGTGCTCTATCCGCACCACCATGACTGTGACGTTGTCCGCCGACCCTCGCTGCACTGCCTTGTTGGCCAGTCGGTTACATGCAGCTTCATACCTAGCATCTGCTTCCAGCTTCCCTTCTCTTGTCTGGATGTTTTTATCCTGGTGGGGCAAGGAAAGACAATACTGATTGCTCCCAGCAAAGCAAGTAAGTGCCACAAATAAGGACAAAGTGCAAAATAAGTAAGGACAAACTCAGGTATAAGGGAGGATATCCAGGCAGAAGTACATTTCTGTGTGTCAGAAACATTCCATTCCACATATGCCCTGCCCTGACAAGCCCAGCCCTCAGCTGCCTTCTCCTCACCTCAAGGCAGGAAACAATGAAGTTTATAGCTTCTTCTGGTGTAAAGACTTTAAAGAGGCCATCACACGCTATCAAAATGAACCTAGAAATCAAGCAGAGACAAGTTCCAAGGCTGAATCTTTGGCTCCCCAGTTAAAGCAAAATCCCTCCAAGCTATTTTATGAGTACCCACACTCCAATCCAAATGGAAGGTGCTATAAATCTCATCTGAAAATCCCTTAGAAACACCAGATGTCCTCTGGTGCTCCAGAATCTGCTATTCACAGAGCTGAGGAAATTCAAAGAACAGGCCAAAGATCCAAGAAACCAACGTAAGACCTAGATCAAGACATCCTGGCAGACCTACTGGTACTGCACAGTTAGCCAAGACCATACACTGCGCCCTGCTGGAAAGCTCCATTATTTCTTTAGGACTGCTTCTTTCCTTTGAGTCTTTTTCATTCACCTGTTTTCCCTGTGAAGAAGCTAACACAAGGAAATAGAGACACACAGCCAGTATAATATCTTATGTGCATCCTTTTAAATCCTTTACATTTCCACACCCTTGAGGTATGTGATAATTTAAATAGAAACATTCAAAAGAAAAACGAGCAGCTTAACCCAGAAAGAGAAGTGTCACTGTGATTGGAAAACTCTGCCACAAGGTACTGC